TAACTTTAACTCCACACCGAGGGCTCACATGGCTGCGGTCTGGGTTTTGAAGCCTTTTGTCTCTGAGCTAGAGAGACGGAGGTCCATTTCGCCATGTAAAACTAATGTGAAATTCTAAGCGTTTGAAAATAAATTGTGAAACTAGGTCATACCTCTGCGAATTGCAGGTGAAATCTGTCAGGTTTGATGCGATGAAGATCGCCGATGAAAGGAAGAGCCCAGGGTCCAGGAGGAAAATTTCTCGGCACTCTGTTCTTCAAAAAATCAGCCAGGAGCAAAAAAACACACAGGAATAACAAAATGCTGCTGAAGTCTATCCACTCCAACCCGAGGACACTGTATACTGTCTCCATGTCTTCACTTTTTTGTGACGACCTGTAGCTTTCCTGTTGAACAAGTCATTACAGACCACGTGAGAATGTTTAGTCAGCTGGTCAGATGAGTCAGAAATGGGTTACATAAACTTTATGGTTAGTCGGTAGTCTCAAGTGACAGTTTGAACTCTGTACGTATACCGTATCCTACCGCACCCCGGAATGTAAAGCCTTTACGGCTTCTGGAAAGCGTTTAGCTCCAAATTGCAGCGTACACCAGGTAGTTGGCTCGGATCACGTCTGTTTAGAACCTCCAAATAGTCTCGGTGTGGTGGTTTTGGTCCGCAGGTCCGAACCGCGATTAAGGTGTTCACACCAGTACAAGAAGCGAGAAGCACAAGCAAGTAAATACTGCATGTGTGAGAGCTGCCTTACCTGCGCCACTACAACGGGGAATATCTCATTTACGTTCAATACTGCCTTGTCCCAAATGCATGCAGCAAATGTCCGCAGTGTACTTTTGCCCTCTTACTGTAGCCACCTGCATCAGGTGCGGGGGGCAGTGGGCAAAAAGCAATGCAGTATCAAATGATGGGCATTGCAGCTGGATGCTGGAAGGGGTTCCTTCCAAAGAATATTTATGACTTTATAATAATATTTATGACTTTTCTTAAGAGGGTGTAAAATAAAATATCCCCTATTTAAATGATGCAGAATCTGCATATGTAAATCACTTTATTTCATGCACTTAGTTTCTTTGTAAAAATGTGTGTAGCAAACAGAATATGTTGCAGTTACAGCAGTTGGTGGAATTTTTAGATTCTCATCAAAATCCATCACATCATAGATGAGTGGAAGTGGAACACAGGAACATACAGTAACACAGATTGCTCTTTGAAAGCTGATAGTAGCGTAGTGAAATCTTCGCTTGCTGAAAGATGGTTTAACCAGATGTGTTCAGCTTCAGTAGATGTTCCTGGAAACTGATTTTTTCTGGACAGAGACATTGAAGGTAAAGATAAAGAACACCTCAAGTGTAAGACTATAAATTTTTCAAAATTTGCTTTGCATACAAAGTTAAAGTGTCACGATCTGCAATGGCAGTGGAAAGAGGAGGATCCAAATGCAGCCACAGGGCGTGAGTGATGTTGAACAAGAATCTGTTCCTAGGATTTAGTGTTTAGTTTTGTAGTTTCCTTTTGGCTTTTGTTTTCAGTCTCGTACTGCCTAAAATAAATGGCTTGCTGATTGTTAACGCTTACTTTCGCCTTCCAATTGTCTGCATTTGGGTCCTCACCGCTCTCCATGTGCAGATTGCGACAGAAAAACTTAAGGCAGTTGGTCATGGAAGCAGACTGTTTTCCTAGAAATCTGTTGAGTGGAATATTTTTTTAAAATTTAAACTGACAGCAGTTTGTGGAATATTTTGCATCTTTAAGGAAGCTGTTTTTTTTTTAATCTACTCTCTTGTCACAAAGGCTCACCACAGTAGAAGCTCCATGTTTGAGAGCGTTTAACATCAGATATTCTTTCTGAAGCATCCCTAAAGGGGCTTTCTGTCTCTTGCTCAAACTGAACCAACAACCTTTCACTTGCCAAACAAATGCATAAGAAAGTTTAAAGCAGCTAGCACTGAACCACAAACAGCACCAAGCACCGTTATATTTCTACACAGTGTTAAGACAATGACTCCAACCTACAGGCTTGAAAATTATGGTTAAAATATTTTCTTTAAACATAAATGCATCAGTCCAGATGTTTCCACATAACTTTATTTAACGATTGAGGTAGGGTGATTACAATCTGTAGGTAGGGTGATTACAATCTGTCAGTGATAGCTGTCAGTCCATTACTTCCCTCTGCCAAGGCAAACACTAAAAGTGACACCGCTCATACAAGTTCATAATGAAAAAGGCAAGCATATGTAGAAAGTCCATTTATTTATGACATTGTGCATTTTATAACAAGCAGTGGTATGAAAAATAAAAACACTCATACTAATTGAAAAGTATGAGTGGTGTCACCACCTGCTTTACATGGCTTGTCTGCATCCCTTTGATATCCAAATAAACATAAACTTATATACTTCTCAAAACAGTTTGGGAATTTTAAAGGCCCTTTTTTTTAAGAGTGACAAGAGATCGTTGGTAATCAACCTGCTCATTAGTCAAAGGAGCTTGCAAAGAAAAGCGTCTGGACTTCTTTAAGTTGCTTGAAAAAGCAACCTGCTTTTTACAAATTTTACAAATTCAAGCAACCTGCTCATTAGGTTACATCATATAGAGTCTACTGTAGAATAAAAAGTGATTTGTTATGTTCTTAAAGAAATTGGGAAATCTAAGAGATGGGTTAACACTTTTAGCAGAACACCTTCAAAAATTTGTCACCATCAAAGCAAACAGAAAAAAAGAAGAAGTCATTGTTAACTTTTGCTTGATGATGAAGCCCAGGTCAGAACAGGTACCGTAAAGAAAAACAGTGAAGGTACTACGCAGTAGGGTACGTAGGTGAAAAAAGAGAACTCTACTCTATGCATAGGCAGTCAAATGAGATCTCTTAAAAAGTTGTAGTTTAATATTGTAAACCTTTACACTTTTACTTGTTGAATACAGTAGACTGAATGGTTCAGTGAAAAGGTCTCCATGGTGAGAAGAAGAAGAAAAAATACAAATTATAAGATACTCATGCTGTAAAGTGAAATTATTTAGCAGATATAGATAATGCGATGTAAAACAGATGTTTTCAGTTTGTCATAGCTGATGGCTTAACGCGGTACAGCACAGAGGCGGTGAGGTTTAGGGCAGCGCGTGCCCCCCAACTGGAACTCCAGACTGGGCTGCTGTCCAGCAGGTGGCGAAAGAGAAAACCTTTGAAGGAGGGAGGTGAAAAACAAAAACAACTCCATCCTGGCCAGCTGTTCTCCAAGACACACACGCTTACCTGAGAATAAACAATAGGAAATGGGTTTTATTCAAACAATTTACAAGACATTCACTATATTGCAGAGTTTACTACACTTCTGCAACAAACTAAGGATGCATGCCATTTGGCTAAATCAGTACAAGAGGCTTTAATGTACAACAAACCTGCAGAAAATGGAAGGAAAGCATCTCTCTTGCGAAATTTACCATCCTTGTCCAGAAAGTGTTGAGGGTTGAAAGAGTGTGGAGTTTCCCACACTGACTCATCATGTAAGACTGAGTCCAGAGTAGCCACGATCATGGTACCCTGCACAAAATAATCATACGAACCGAGATACTAAAATTGAAAGACAAACTAACAAACAAAACATCTAAATTGGTACTCATAAAGGTTAACAGAAAGTAAAGTATTACATAAGTAATTTTTAGGACTACAAAATTTCTTAACAATTTTGAGGAAAACCAAACAATATTTCCCCATCTTACATCATAAATGCATTTTATTTTTGGGGAGATGAGTGTTATTATGAAAAGGATAAATTTTACCAAAACATCACTGTGTACTGAAATATACTTACAGTATTTTTTTAAATTATTTCCTTTTTTAGTTACCGCCTTATTCTAGTGTATATACCTTTAAGTATTTGTCGGTAAATGTAATTGCAGTTCAATTTCAAGTAAAAGTAATTGAAATTCCATTTTATTAAAGGGGAATTTTGCCCTCAGTCATAGGCTAAACTGCTTTTGAAGACCTTTGAAGCTAAACTGTACCTTTGGGATTGTGTATTTATCCACTGTAGTTTCCTTGTTTGTCATACGAAGCACATTGAGAGGAATGATGTTGGCCATTCTCTGAATCTCATGAATGACAGCATCAGTATAGGGCATGTTTTCTCGGTCACTCACAGAGGGCTGTCTGGACGAACCGACCACAGCATCGATCTCAGCTTGAACTCTCTCTGCACAGTGAAAACAGGACACAATCAGAGTGTGTATCAAGGTTATTACAGTTACCTAACACTAAATGAGAAGCTAAAAGTGAGTGTAAAAAAAGACATTCCAAGTCATTAATACCAATATTGGATTATTAGACTACTTATTAAACTACTAAATAGAAATAGAAACATGAACAAGACATTGAATGAATTTGTTAACTTTTGTCAACACAACAAGCAACGAGACATTCGAACATATATCTATTAAAAGGTGGAAAGTCAAGATAAATGTCAATCTTTACAAAATGCTGTTTTTATATTGTATATTTAATACATATGCTGGACTTTTTGTTTTCTGATAACTACTTCCCTTTTATTAAAAAAAATTAAAAAAGAACGAAATTGCACATTTTGGGAAACAATAACTAAGTTAAAGAATTAGATCTACTCTGGAAACTAATGGAATCCAAACTCAAAACAAAAAATTTGAAGCATGCTAAAAATGCCCCCAAAATTACAAGATTGTCATCTGGTGATTGGAAGGTTGGTGGTTCGATTTCTGGCTGCCCGAGTCTGCACGCTAAGTATCCTTGGGCAAGATACTAACCCCAAGTTGCTCTCCAATGACTGTGTATGAATTTTAGTTAGAAAGCACCAATAAGCATAGAAAAAAAAGTGTTTGTGTGAATGGGTGAATCAGTTCATTTACCACTACAAGACTGACGTGACAAAATACACAGTATGGTTGAGTATTACATACATACAGTGTTGGGAAGGTTACTTTTAAAATGTATTCCACTACAGATTACAGAATACATGCCCCAAAATGTATTTTATTACGTATTCAATTACGTTACTCAATGAGAGTAACGTATTCTGAATACTTTGGATTGCTTAATATATTACCATGCTTTTTTACAACTACATGAATGTCCTATTGCTGTGTGATTTATTACTACTATTACTGAAGGTTACTCGCCATACCAATACCAACTAGATTTTTAAATCTTAATATAAATGAGTAACAGTAGGTGGACATTAGGTAAGGCTGCGCTTTTTGCAGCGATCTCGTATAGAAAACTATTTTGCATGTATATAAAACAGGTTTGCGGCTGCGAACTGTAGTAAAGGAACTTCTGGCTAATAACTCGGGTTCTGTGTCGGGCTCGTAGCTGAAAACTAGCTTTACTCTGTTGTCTGGGTCAACTTTGCTAGCGAGAGACAGAGAGAGGCGTTGAAAGGCTGCTCCAACTGAACTTATTGTTTCAGAGGAAAACACAAACACGGTGTACAGTGAGGTCTTAATAGGTTACTTACAACTGGGCTCGTCAGGCACTCTTTTTGGCTGCAGTGGGTATTATTATATTTACATGATTCCATCTCCCGTTTCTGGTCGGTGACAACTCGCACTTTTCGACTTTCCTTTTTGTGCCTCCCTCGTGCTCACAGACGATAACGGGTATGGCCGTCCGTTCTCCCTGCAGCACGGACTACAGTGCCCATTAGGCTACATTCTTTAGGGCAATGCCTGTAACGCTTTGCCTGTTGCCTTCATTTAAATTTTAAAAATATTTCTTCTCGTCATTATGAGACACGAGATTGAGACACAGGCATTTGAGCCTCTTAATGCATGTCTTGTTTGGGTTTCCACCAGCGTGGAATTGCCAAAAATAGAGAGAGCATAGCCTAAAATATGAAACAGGAAAAGACCACCGTGTATTCCCTTTATTTCAACAAAGTAACTGTATTCTGAATACCACCTTTTTAAAAGGTGACTGTAACGGAATACAGTTACTCATATTTTGTATTTTAATTACGTAACGGCGGTACATGTATTCTGTTACTCCCCAACACTGCATACATACCTTGTATATCAGGGTAGTAGATCATGTAAAGCAACCCCCAACGTAAAGTAGTGGTAGTAGTTTCAGTTCCAGCAAAAAACAGGTCCAT